ATAGTCTAAACTCCTTCAAGGGCGTTATATAGGGGATTATACAAGGGAGTAGTACAGGGGTTAACAAGGGGATACCAGGAGTTTGGACTATAGCTCATATACGTCTGGAGACTCTGGGGCTCTGGTTTTAGGGAGAAACCTCTCAAATATTTTCTCATGGTTCAGGTTTATCACACCTACGCTGCTTTTGCTGCTCTCAGGGAAGACGGTTCGGTGGTGCCTGGGAGCAAAACTCTACAGGTTGATCTGTCCAGTACATTTCGAAAGTCAAGTAAGAGTCAAGAATAAGACCACGATGTAGAAGGCATGTATAAGGGCACACCTATACTTTGCGTGTCTTTAAGCCATCTACCTCCTAGCCTTTGCAGCCTGGTGTTTGACGATTTCAGGTTTCAGGATTTCGGAGTGGGAGTCAAGAGGCTAGCTAAGAGGATAATGGCCAAAAAGCCCAGGGAATGCCTGTACTTCCACCATCTAGGCTAGGGTTTGGGGTTTATTGTTTTTCTGTGTGGGGTTTAGGGTTCAGGATTTTTAGGTGTGCGTGAGGCCCATGTCTTCACGAGCAAGGCTTGTTGATCGGTTTTGATGCTGTGGATGAGTGGGTGGCTGTGTGAATGTGTCTTTTTAGAGCTTCAGATGCCCAAACGGACCCACAATCCTAGCTTATACCGATTGTAGCGCTTCATGTTCAGGTGCCGAAGCACAGTTGACACTGCGTAAGCTTCAATGGCGGCGTCTCTTTGAGCAGTTAATCGTCGCATGTCCTAAATAGGATCATACCCTAATCCCTATAATCCCCTATATAATCCCAGCTTCCATTTCATTTTCCATTTTCTTTTCCATTTGATTCTCCATTATAGCCCCTAATATACCCCAATATACCCGGGGAACTCACAGCGAACTTCAAAGCGTGATGTTTTTAAATCTACTGCTGCCTTGAGCATGGCTTTTACTTTCCCTGAGGACCAAGAAAGCAGCAGCAGGTGCAGATACTGTACCTGTGCACCTGTGCCCACCCAAAAACAAAACAGGTATGAAATGCGCGATGTGAAATCGTTTGTTCGGTAGTTAGGCTTGTTACCTGGTGCATCCTTACATAAGTGCCCCTTGAATGGTGTCCAGGCTCACTCCATACTGGCATTCTAAAGGAGCCTGGAAGTAGTGAACGAACTTGACACGGCATCCGGACCTAGGCTTACCAAACACTCACGCGTGTAGCCTTTAACTGGGTGTGTACAGGCGTTTTAGGGAATTTGGGATCAGGTCACCTGGGGCAATGAGCACAATGGCGGAGACTGCCAGAGGGTACAGGAGCCTGCTGCGAACAGTTCCGCACTGCTGCGCAACGCGTTTCTAACAGGTTCATATCGGCATTTGTAGGATGTAGGGTTCACATGCGAAACTAGAAAGTGCCCTGCAAAGACTGCCGTCAAGTTGAAAGGAGACTACATGCAGCTCCATGTTAGTTGGGGGAGCATACTGTGCAATTCCAGTCAGGCTGTCCGCAAGTGGAGGCATGCAGAGATCTGAAATGCTCATGGTTGACAAGTCTACAGTAGTGGTACAGTGGGAACAATAATGGTGAAAATAGCTTTCACATTTAAAATAATAGCAATAATAATAATGGTATGAATCATAATAACTGCAAACTCTGCTATACATGTCAAGGACCCTCGTGCCGACATTCAAGAGTTAAACGGGAGGATCTCCCAATCATCCCAAGCTTTTCCCTAAGGCTTAGGGTTTATGGTTTAGAGCTGATAGAGTCTAGGGTTTAGGGCAATCTTCTTATGTTCCTCATATGGTAGTTTCCCAAAATATGGGTGCCTATAGTCCTTGTTATGGGGACCTCCAAACAGGAACCCGTAATGTTGGGAAACACCCATATAATATATTTTCTCTAGACTGCCCGACTCAAGCGTGCTCTATAGGTAATGTAGAAGTCTAGACAGGCCGAGGGTTTGGAGTAGCTTTTTTCAACAATGCAGCATTCAGCACATTCAGAACTATTGAGATCCACTTATCCATGTGAGACCTTCTCGAAAAGCTGCCGGTAGCTCCCCTAGAGCACCAGTGTAACCCGAGTGTCCTTGGAACTCTAAACTCTAAACTTTCTTGAAGTCAGGAGCAGCTGGTAAACGTGGAATGCATCTATGCCTCGGACCACGCATTTGCGGCCCTACGGTCGGATGGGTCAGTGATCACTTGGGGCCACCCGGAGCGAGGCAGATTCGGTTCAGATACTTACTGGGCTGCTCGGGAGGCATGGCAAGGCAAAGCGACTATTATGTAGGGTTCAGGGTTCAAAGCTCAGTGGAATGCGTTCGCAGTCCCTATAGCAACCGCTTCAAGAACCCTGATATCCTATGCCTTCAGTCCCTTCTAACTGCCAGGGAGGTTATCTTCAGAGACGATTCTTGTGAATTGTTGTTTGCCTGATCAAGGCCGTTGCTTGTTGCTTCACGACTTTCTAATACAGCAAGAATAAAAGGACAGCTGCAATGAACACACAACGGGACAAAGCAAGTTGCCAGCAAAGACTTCACGACCAGCAATACAGCAAGAACAGCCTTAGTAATATAGAAGTGAGTAGTATTTGATTTGGGGATACTATGGTACCCAATATAGAGTAAGAGTATATCCTCCTTTTGGGGTATAGTATTTGTATAAGGAATATAATCTTATTGGGTTTAGCCACTAAAAAACACTACTCAAGTGGACGAAAAGCGCCAATCTGAAAGATCCAACATGCGCAGCAAGGGTTGCTTAATTGGGCCATACTGTGTTGGAGTTATTCGAAACAACCTCTCTGTAATCTTTCGGAGACACCCTTAGAATCTCCTAATGACCACTTTGCCACTCGGGGTCTTGATGGCATCAAATAAGATGTCTGCATCTTGCCCTGCAAATTCAATTTTGCTTTGGTTACATCCAAGCTCTGGCAAGCGAGTGTTTCCCAAAATTAGGGGTACTTTGATGATAGTATTTTTGGGTCTATATTGGGGCCCCCCTCTTTCGGGAAATCATCCAATTTCTGAGGCGTTAAGCCCTAGAAGTCTTACTGAGGCTTTTGGGATTTGGAGGCTGCATGGAGTTTGGTTTATTGACGGCCGTGCATCTGCAAAGAAAGCGTGGTGGAAGAACAGCAGCACTAAGTACAAAATGCTCAAGCTGGAACAAGGATGCAAGTTGCCATCTAATTCTTGCTACTCATTGACTCGCCATTTTTCTACCAAGCCCTCAGGGCTTTGATGAACAGAGGTGTTCTGGTGTGGCTCTCAATTGACGGTGCCTTTTAGTAGTTGTTACGGTGCCTTTGACGCACCAAAACTACTTGTAGCTGCTTGTAATTGAACACCCCAAGGCCTTGAATTTGATATTCTTCAAATCTGCCTGCAAATCTGTGCACTGTGAAAGACTGGATGATGACGATCTCAGGGTTCAGCCTGCACACGGTATTTGGCAAATGGCCGGCGTAGGGAAAGGGTGGCCCTCTCGGAGAGGGCCCGCGTGCTGAATGGTCCAACGTGGCTGGGGGATGATGACGATGGCTTTTTCTCATCGCGGTGAGTTTATGTTCTAAATAATCAAGCCTGCCTCGGAACTCTGCTCTAATTCTCAAGCCCCAGCCCCGACTCCTAAAACACTAAACCCCTCCGCCCATTCCTGAGTTGCTTGAGAGGTGGAGACAGCAGCCTCGTGGACTTAGTCCACGTCAAGGAACGCTCGCTGTTATATTGGGGCAAGTAGAGAAAACTGGTATTCCAAAATTGGCAGAATGGAGTGGCGCAACTACTGTCAAGTAAATACTGGCGAAACTAGAAGATTAGCATTGAGAAGTTGCATTCAATAGGGGGGATTTAAAGGATTTGGGGGCGGTGCTGCTAGAGAGAGAGAGAGAGAGAGAGAGAGAAGACGGGTGCATGGCAAGAAGTGTCGACTCTTTCTGTGCTCGGGAGCATGCCGGATGCCGAAGTATTTTGGCGCTCTGCTCTGGCACAGGTCCCGAGCTCAGAGAGGCAGACACAGAGACAGAGAGAGGGAGAGAGAGAGAGAGAGAGAGAGAGAGCGAGAGCGAGAGAAGAGAGAGGGAGAGAGACAGAGGAGGGCAAGGGTCTGGAAGCATTTCAGTTTCTAGTTCTCTAATGTTTCAGAGGCCCCGGCCTCGGGGTGCATGTGAGATGTTGCCTATGCACAGCGGCTTCTTGGTGGTAAGTTGGAAATGAAGGAATAGGATATGGGGACTACTTCGCCGCTACCAAGGTTGCACCCACTCCAACATCTCCAGTTAGGTATCCGTTTTTGCTCACGACTCCTCACACATGGTTGTCAAGCGATCCTTGCAGAGCGTGAGCAACTCGCTAGCCTGGCCAATGAAAATTACAAGGCCCGCAGCCACCCCACAAGATCCTGGGAGGTTCACGACTCACCAAGAGGCCCAGTATGTCGAAACTTTGGAGCCCAGATGTATTATGGGGGACGGGATGACTGTAGGGAGCCATTTCTCGATGCCCTGCTGACCACCAGTTCGGTGGCAGTCTTCCGCAACAAACTATTCAAGCCGGTCAAGCTGCTGCTGTAGCACAAGACACAAGACGTTGAAGAATGCGACCTCATGTTTGTCTCTTGAATGACAGTGCAAACCTTGAAGGCAGCATCGGCAAATACCATTAGCCCCATAGTGGCAAAGGCGAAGGCAACAGCAGGCTCAAAGCACTTCACACCTACTGGACACACTGATGCTCCAGCACCATCACGGATTTGGGAATTATAGCCGGCAGCGTCGCTGATCTGAAAATGACAGCCTGAGGGGTGTCGCAGCGAAACACTGCTCGATATGCAGGACATTGCAGCCACAAGCGATGCCTTTGCCGCAGTGCTTGCAGATGAGACTGGAGCCACACAAAGACGTCCAGGGTTCGTTAGACTTGTCAGCGAATCTATACAGTATTGAGTCTTGCTTCAGGTTCGAGTCAGTTGGGTGCATGTGGCGACATAACATGGGTGATCAGAAGCGTGAGTCATTCCAAGCAAAGGACGAGGTGGTTGCAGGCTGAGGGTGGCAGATTCTAAGCCAGTCAAAGTCTTAATCCCTTAGCCCTATACCCCCCCCCTACCCCCACCAACCCTTCAACCCACCTCCCATCACAGTCCCTATGCTTCCGGAGCCAAAACCTTCCTTCACCCCGAGGAAACGGTGGTAGCCTGGGGTGAGGCATGCAGCGGCGGCAACTGCAGGCCCCATAGGCTTAATGTAGAGGCTTGAATGAATAGGGCTGTTGGGTTGCAGTATACTGTGCATACCTGAAGATGTTGAGGGTTTAGGGTTCTGGGTTGATATGCTGCAGGACACAACCGAAAAGAACATCCGAAGTGAAACGGAAACTCCTTGTGAAGGGCCGGTTTTTGAAAGGCTTTGGGGTGTGTGTTGCTGTCATCTTATTTCCCTGGGATTGTTGGACCCTAAACCCTAAACCCTGGAATGATGCTTGTAATTACGCCGATCTCCGCGTCACCCTGGGGATCCAGGACTGCTGGAGAAGGTTACACTTCCTATATGGGAGGTTCCAGGCAATAGAGCTTCCAAAAAAAGACCCTAAAATGACGTAATGCTTGGGATTTATAGTCCCCCTTATGTAGATAGACTATGGGGTATATGGGGATCTTGTTATAATAGACCCAAAGCCATATTCTATCTACTTAAGCTCATGGCGAAGTCCAGTTGAGGTGCCTTATACCATCAATCTATGTCATGTAGGACCAAAATATTGCTAATCATGTAGACCCCTACACTGATCCTACTTTGCACTGCAGGCCGTGTCAGTCCAAGCTGGTTGGAGTGCAGAAGCCGCTTTGACGGAAAGTGGGAAGATATCTGGAAGACACGATTGATACTAAATATCATGCATGACCTTAGACGGCCATAATACTTCAAGGGATAAGGTACTTAGGGTCATGCAAGAATTTCAGTATCCACCGTAGGAGGGTCCCTTTAATGGATGCGGGATTCTACTATGCTTTGGATACATAGCGGAACCCTGATGTCCAGGGTGCCTACGTTGCTACAGAAAGTGGATGCAGGATGCGCGTTCTAGACATGGTTCGGGAGGCAGGGCTTTGGCATGGAGAGGGAGGGTGGTTGGTTCAAGGATAAATGGCTTCAGGTGCTGATGGTGTGTAGAACCACGGTGCAAGAAGAGGGAGGGAGCAAAGATTGGGCTCTCGTTTATTGGCAGTTGGAGTCTCAAAGTCAAAAACGTATCTAATTTATTCAGCTGCCCATCCACACGTGGAAGCTGTTTGCCTAGACTGGTGGCATGAGAACTTTTCTACTTGGCTCTTTCAGCAGCCCTGACACATTTGGGGACCTTCAGCAACCCCTCTCTCACGGCCTCTGCAGGTTTGCCACAACTTCTTTCATCCCTGTGTCTGTGTAACCAGATGCATGAGAAGCACAGGCCATGGTTCTATTGGGCCCATATTTGTTTTGAGTTGTGTGTTGGTGTTAACCGCGCCACAGACCAATGAGATTTGATGCTATGATGTTATACAGAACACAATATCCCATTTTGGAAGCTCGCACGGCCAATTACATGCAGGATTCCTTGGACGAAATCAGATGTTTCTCGCGAATAACCAGCGTAATGATTCCGCCGGCCTTCAACTACATATTGTTACTCGAAATAAAGTGCAGCTACAAAAACGATAACAACTGCAACTACTACTGCCGCTACTACTGCTGCTGCTACCGCTGCTGCTACCGCTGCTACAGCTACTGCTGAACTCAGAACCTTGAATCCTAAACCCTATACCTTAAACTGCTACCATTAGAGGAGCCAGCCCCTGCTGAGGGTTTATGCTTCCAAAGCTGCGTTCGCAGCCATTCTCCATGATGGGTCCGTGGTTACCTGGGGAGATTTCCGAGCAGGCGCGGCTCCCGCTGATTCTTAGATGAGGGAATGGAAAAGAAGCTGGAACCACTGTAGTATTGGGGTTATATGGACCATAGTCTAAATTCCCTAAAGGGGTCATCTAGGGGACTATATGGGGGACTATTTTAGCGGTTCTGAAGGGGGATACGGGGAGCTTAGACTTGGCTCATATAAGGCTAGCATGGGGATCATTTCCCATTAACCACCACGAAGCATTGTTCTAAACCCTAAACCCTAAACCCTTGTTCTTTTCTAGCCTACACTTAGTGGTTGGTTTTTGGGGATCTCCAGCACTGGTGGCCTGCATGTCAGGAAACCTGAACACCTTGGTAATTCTGGTAGTTTCCCAAAACAAGGGTACCCCAATATAGACCCCAATATACTATAATCCTTATTATGAGGACCCCCAAAATGGTACCCCTAATTTTGGGAAACCCCCTTCTTTACAACATTAGACCAGGAGATTTTTTAGTGCCAGAAGGTTGTTTGAAATCTGTCGGGAAGGGTGCCAGCCAGCCTCGGCAGCGCTCAGCGATATGAATGCGCACCCTGCAAACGGGGTGATGTGGGAAGTTCTCAGGACCTTTCCTGCTAATCGCCGAATCGTGTTGGGTTTACATATAATCGTTTCCAGCGCCACCTTTTCTGGAAATCTCGATCCCAACTCGAGGCATAAGGTTTTCCCCCTCTCTACTTGCGGGTGCTGTACGGAGGAAGCCAAGAATGGTATATGTATATATATATATGGGGGTTTCCCAAAATTATTTTAGGGGTCCCCATAATAAGGATTATAATATTTTTGGGTCTATATTGGGGTTCCCCTATTTTGGGAAAGTACCATATACATATATCTATAGGGAAACCTGTGAGGGATGGTACGTATATAGGGACCACGACACTGCGGTAGTCAGGCATGCACAGACGTGAAGCGCAAGGGGTCTCAGCAAGGCTGAAAGGTGTTTAGTAGAGAACAGGGGGTTATATTGTATAGGGATGGGATCATATTCCCTGATTCCCGACCAAGAACCAGCAAGTTTGCGGTTGGGTTCTGTGTAGCAGCCCGAGGCGCCGTCTATGCCTTTAGCATTTGTTGTGATTTGTTTGCCAAGTCCCAAGTTCGGTGGCCTAGTTTCAGTCATTTCTACCAGGGACTGACATGACAGCACCGGTCTTGTGATCAATGCAGATTTCCCGGAGGCAATTGCAAACGCGTTATGTAAAGTTTGCCTTTCCATTCAGCTCGAGATGTGAAAGAGAAAAACTGGGATGTTGCAAGGCGGAGACAGCACCATTGTGCGAGATCAGCTGGTGGATATACAGCACCTTGGCATGGGAGAGAGTTAATGCCCAGACTGGGTGTAACATAAACGCCTAAATGACTGTAAATACGGCCTCCGTCTAAACCTTCTGCAAACATGATAGAATAGCAGAATGAACTTTTGAACTTGCGAAAATATCATGGGTATATAGGGATAATGGAAAAGAAAATGGAAACTACTATAGTATATTGAGGTTATATTGGGAATAAGGGAAAAGAAAGTGGAAACTATTTGGCTACTTTGACATCCTTTGGGCCCCCATCTTACCAGATCGGGGCTTAATGTTGCGGGTGGGTTCAGGTCTGACAAATCAAGTTGTCCTCACTTTAGTTCTCAGTCCTGGAAATTCACATGTTTGGAATCCCTATAAGGGGCCCATAATTCTCTTGTACTCCCCTTGTATCCTGAGGGCTCCTGCTTTAGAGACCCCCTGAAGTAGCAAGAGTTCGGGATTCCCTCGCATAGCGCTGATGGAGGAGACTCTGAAACAATTGGGATACTGGTGATTGGTAGGGGTTAGGGTTCAATAAGGAAAGAACAGAATACAGGGCCTGTTCTTGCGGATGTTTTAATCTAAGAAAGGAAGTATGGGCCCCTAATATAGGCTCGTCGGCCTCTGAGGGGGATTCTAGCGACCATTCAGGGTACATATACGGTATATCGTAGGTGTATAAGGACCACAGGGTTAAGGGCCCGTACTGGGGCCCATAGTTTCAACCTTAGATTATAGGGACCGGTACAGGGGTTCATTTCTTCCATTCGCTATTGACCACCAGTAAACTTGGGAGACCAAAATTATTGCAGTTCCTGAAGCTGGTTATTCAGAACGTGCCCGGTTGAACGAGGAAACTGTTCATCCACATCTCCCTTCAGCACAAATGTTCACAGCTTGAGCATGCTTCATGTTTAGGTGACTACCAGTGAAGCCACTCGAACCACATAAGGGGTTAAGACTCTTTGCCCCATTGCTTCTTTCTCGTTGGAAACTTCTAGATCTCAACCGAAAACCGAAAAAAGTCTTTGGCAGTTTGTTGTGATATTGCTGCTGCCTCTACCACCATCCCCCCACCCATGCACCCACCCATGCCAGCGCCCCCAGCGCCACCACCGCCACCACCCCACCACCACCGCCAGCACCGCCACCGCCAACACCGCCACCGCCAGCACCACCACCACCAGCACCGCCACCGCCACCGCACCTCGGCAACCGCGCCAGCAGCCTGCCCCGCCGCCTGCCGCCCGCCCCCGCCGCCACCGCCACCGCCACCACCACCGCCCCACCACCCCACTGCCGCCGCCCCTGCCCCCCGCTGCCACTGCGACCGCCACGGCCACCAGCAGCACCGCCACCAACAGTGCAATTATTAAGAAAGCCCTGCTGCTGTAAAGGCACATTCAGGCAGCCAGCAGCGCCTTCGCGGCGATTCGCAAAGATGGCAGCGTGGTGGCTTGGGGCCGGCCAGATTGTGGCTGAGCTTGCAAATTGCAAAGAACTTTGAAATTGCCCTCCTTAACCCTAATGAACATGAAGCGGCCTTTTGCAGACTGCTGACCATTTGAAGTAGGGGTTTCCATGTTAATCAAGGGTTGTGAAGTTAAAGTTGATTGCTGCAACAGCAAAGGCTCTCCGGTTGTCTATCACCGTTTTCGGATAGCCCAGCACATGTCAGACTCTCAAAGCAGGTCGACTTTCAGCGTTTGATCCTTGCCGGCTGCCCTGGCTATGAACTCTGGGGTCTTGCACGATCTTCAAAGCATGCAGGAACTGATGGGCACTGGCTTTATAAGTAGGTATTATAGTCCGCAGCATAAAGCAACATGAAATCTGCCTTTTGGTTGTAGTAGCTTTATGAGAAGGATGCAATCTGCTTAGCGACCAATGAAACACAACACTGCTGGCCCTCAACTCTCAAGCCTGAACTTTGGAATCCGTTAGCTGCAACATATCAGGTTCGTTCTGAGGAATTGGGTTTCGGGCTTAGGGCTGGGTTAGGCTTTGGGATCAAGAGCCACTCTGAGGTGGTGGAGACAACGATTCTGTCCCGGCTCAGCTTCGCAATGTCGGCTCTTTGGTAGAGGCGTAGGAGTGAGTGGCTTGCGTACTTGGGTAATCTCACAGCCCGACCCCTGTTTCTTGAAGGCTGCCCACGAAATTGAAATAACATAGTCTTGGCAGTAGTTCTTATCAAGCGGCGGGAATGTGTCATATTTGGAAGGCGAGTGCTGCCCCGACCCACTATCAGTTTGATGTGTGGATTTAACATCTGCCCTCGCAGCAAGAAGTATAGGTTGCTTTGACTGTGAATGTGCATTGGGTGTAGTATCCAGTGGATCACATCATCTACGATGATGGGAGTAAAAGTTCCATCCAAATTTCTTCGGAACTGCAGTACCCCCTGCGCACAGTATCATTTCTGATAGAGGGAATCTCTCAAAAGGGACTTCAGATTTCGAGTTCCCTCAACCTTCCCGCCCTGCTCATCACGTTGAGGCCCCGAATCTTTCCCCATTAAGCTTACTGGTTCTGAAGGTAACCCCTATAGAATCCTATAGAATTCCTATGTAATATATTCCCTTATTTTCTTTACTAAGAGCCAAATCCCTATAGAATTCATACGTAATATATTCCCTTATTCTTTAGTGAGAGCCAGAAAGTAAATTTGATGCAGGTTTAGGCTGCAGAGCACAGCTCTTGTAACTGATATGTGTGTCTCCGAAAATGTGATTGTTTTTGGTGTGTTTATAGGCGATATAGAGGGTTACATAGGGATATATAGGGTTTAGGCATTAAGGCTCCGGGTTTCCCAAAATTAGGGGTACCTTTTAAAATTGGGGTAGCTATAATAAGGATTTCAGTATACTGGGGTCTACATGCGGGTCCCCCTATTTAGGAAAACTACTACCACGTGCTTATAAGATTTGGAAACTGCGCTGACAGCCTCACGACCCACGGAATGCATATGCCCCCCCCCCCCCCCCCCACCCCCCCGTTCCTTGTTCGGCGCATCGCACAAGCAAAAAAAGAACATCCTTTTGAAATGACTCAACATCACTTTTATAAGATGATTCCTTAGAAGCTGAAATTTCAAGAGGCTCCATCCCCAAGCCCAAGTATCTGGCTACAGCCCCCTAAAGCGATACAACACCGAGTGTATGGGGATCCCATAACTATAATATGCCCTAAACTATACTCTATCAACTTGACGGGGACTTGTTTAATTAACGCAGTAGCACTGTCACCTTCTGAATCCATCAGCTTTGTCATCCCACAGGACAACATCAAGCGCATGGGTATTGTGCACGATGAATGCCACAGGATTCTAAAGGAGCCGCTTACTTGCAACACAATCATTTGCGCCCGTAACCTTAAACCAAATCTTTAGCTTTCTTTTTCCCAGGTGCAACGACATCATCTTCTCCGAGCAGCCAACGCGAGCCGCCCAGGAGCACCTCGAGTCATACCGCCATGTTCTGGAGGAGTACACCCAGGATGTGACAACTGCGGAAGATGTTGCGAGCACCCACGAACGACGTGCCTAGCTGATTCTATAGGGTTCAGGGTTGAGGGTTACGGGTTGAGGATTTAGGGTTTGGGGATTGGGGTATAGTTACCTCTCCATCATGCACACTGTTTCTTGCGAAAGCTTAGGCATTGCGGCCGCAAAGCGCAAGCAGGAGAAGAAAGAGAAGGAAGAAGCGGAGAAGCAGCGTGCTAATGCAGGTGCAGGGCTAGATGCCAAGGAATCTCCTTGGCCCTCCGATGCCGAGCACGAGGCCCCAGAGGGAGAAGAGCAGTGGGAGGATGAAGAGGCAGGAGACCGCGAGATGGATGAGGGTGACGATTGGCATGATCAGGCCGAGCCTGACGCTAAAAGGCCTCGAACCTGATGTTTTTGAAGCTGCTGCACAGCGAGTGCTTAGCTTGGGTTTCCTCTACTGCCAGAGGTGGGCCTGCGTGACTACTAGCTGCCTTAGACATTATAATGTCATAATTTCTAGTCTAACCCTGGGGCATCTCCTGACCACGCCTGCCTACCATAGAGTGCAGTGATCCTGCATGCTTAGAAGCGCAAGCTGCGGGCTGTTTCACACGACACGGGACGGGGTTCAGAAGCAAAACATAAATCCGAAATGTCCTCCTTTGCTCTGATCATGTCATTAATGGGTGCCTCTACTCCTTGCATGTTTGGGCTGCGATGCTTCACGTCCGTGCTGACTTGTTCAAGAGAGCTCCAAGTCGAGTTCCAAATGTGTAACCATGCGCACAAAGTCAGCTTGCTGGTCACGTGGCGCATGTATCAGAACCACACGCGAAGTGTGCACCAACGGACTTATAGAATGATCATACTTAAGTCCAGGGTTCCAATACTATCGAAATTTATTTCCAGGGTTTCGGGTTTAAGGTTTCATATTTTAAGGCCTAGGGTTTGACATTTAAGGTTTAGGGTTTACTTTGGAGGGTTTAGGCTTATAGGGCTTAGGGTGCTGAACGCACATTCGGTGCATTCCAGGCGCTGTAGCCAGCGCTGCAATGGTGTGCGATGACGGATACATCCTGTGCCGGGCGAACATGCCTTACAGACTACATCGACAAGACTATTGGAGATATCCTGGAATTCATATCCCGTGGAGAGATTGCAACAAATAAGCTCAAAGAATCAGCGCGCCAGGGGCCCAGGATTTTGCTGTTCTCTCATCTGAAGCTTCTTCATTTCCTAGTTCAGCAAAACATTAGCCAGCCTCGGCCAAGTTCGCCTTCTGGAGATGCCTGAAATGTTGGTGCCGTGCCTTGGCTGCTCCGAAAACCGCTTTGCAGCACATGGGCTTTCAGTACGTGTCTTCTAGCAAGTTTGCTAGCTGCAGGCGTGATCTTCTGAACTTGGCAATGAAAATGTCTGCAAAGCAATCTTCTTGGGGCCAAGTTAGAGTTCTAGAAGATTGGGCAAATGAGCAACCCTGGCGCCGCTTGCTTGCAACATGGACAACCTAGCTTGGAAAGCCAAAGAAACCTTTAAGGGTTTAGGATTTAGGGTTTAGGGTTTAGGAAGTCTCGAGCCCAAACCCGAACCACCCCAAATGATCCGGCTGGCTGAGGAAAACTGCTGCCCCAACCGTACGAGATCTGGGTGCCCTTTGCTCTGATCTTAGTTTCCGCGCTCCTCCTTGAACTACGCTACGCCTACTCGAATCTGAGGTGAATTTGGACACCTATGGTAACGTGGAGTCCGGGTTCATGAAGCACCACATGTATCTTCCACATGAAGTACTTGGACATATCTGGGAGTTTGACCGCGAGCTTTTCCACAAGATTTTTGGATCTCCGGAGGCCTCGCAACCTATCATGCACCGTGCATGAGAGCATACTTAGATCAGCTCTATTCAAGTTCCTCTAAGGAGATTCAGAAATATTGTGATCACATGCGTGAATACGCATGGCTTTGGTGGAAGGAGCACCCTGATTCCCAGCTGCAAGTATAGATCTAGGTGGAGACCTTCAGGAATGTTCTTTACTCCCTAAATGTTTTCTTTCTCAGTGCCAGCATGAACCCTGTGTCGGAAAGAAAAGATTAGATAAGGCAAATGATTTTTAGGGCTTGGGTTTCGTCCTTGGGGTTCAGGGTTCGGGTTTAGGGTCTAGGGTTTATAAGGTTTAGTATGTAGGGTTTGAATTATTCGCAAGGCAAGAGTCAGCAGGAGCCCATACCGATGTCCCGCCCAGGACCTTGGAGAATGCAAGAGCAGTCGGGTCA